CCCTACGACTGCTACGACTTCTATTGTAGACCCCGCATTAGACGTGAGACAAGGATAGATTACACAAATGGCGTGCTGTCCAAACGCCGCAGCTTGGTGTCAAAGCGCGTGTGAATGGGCGAGTTCAAGATGGCAAAGCGGCTAGGCATGCTTACCGAGCGATTGAATATGATTGGTTGGATCTATAAGTAACAACCAATTATGATCATTTGCTTGGCGAGCAGGCTAGCCGCTTTGTCAACTTGAACGCGCCCATTGTCATGGGTGAATTGTCGGCCATGTTATCATTTTAAATTCACCAAGTTTTGCGTATCATCCGACGTGATTCAGCAGTTTGATTATTTAATTCCAGTGTAAATCGTGAGTTATCGTGCAGTCTATCGTCGACGTTGGTCAACGTTGTCAATAATTCATTCGGGCAAGCTTAAATAGATAGCTAGGAATACATTTGTGATATAATGACGATCAAGGCGGTTTGTGTCCTTCAAGGAGAGCCTGTTAAAGGGACCGTGTATTTTGAACAAACGGTAAATTCTGTTCTGTTCTAATCTTCCTTCATCTCTTCACCGCATAAGCGTGGCAATCTCATGGAAATTTTTAGCTCAATCTCGCTATATTTTTTCAAAAGATATCTGCTTATGTCTTAACTGCTTAAATCGCAAACTTAAAGATGAAAATTTTTTTTATCTAGTATACGATACGATAGTATCTTTTATTTATCCTCATACATCCTACATTTTTTTACTTAATTGAGAATGCCTGACTCGTTTCGCGATAATTTTTATTTTCTCTAATTTGTCAGAAAAATTTCTTCTAGATAGGAAATTTTATTTTGTGATATTTAATAATTAAACGTACTTTTGATTTCTGAAAATATTTATTCGCATTTTTCTTACTAGAATAAAAGCTTGATTTGCATTATAGGAAGGTTCAAATACGGTCAAGGTATCTGGACAGATTTCCGGCTTGCAGAAAGGTCTACATGGTTTTCACGTTCATGAATTTGGCGACAACACTAATGGTATGTTTGGATCAGATATGATAAGAATACTCAAATGTTACATGACATATCTGAGACATTACGTAATTTAAAATTAATTTGAAATATAATTTGTAAATCTTTGAACCAGAAGACGCGGTAGTGTCTCCGGCCATGTTCAACTATCCTAACTACTTTAGGATTAATTTGTAATTTTCCTCAATAATTTCGCAACAGATTTGCTGGTTAGTCGTTTAAAACTAACCAAATTTTGCATTATTTGTATATAATATAGACATTAAGTAACTTAAGATATAATTTACATGTCTAAGTCTGTAATTTTTTTCAACAAAAATTTGTTTGTCATTCAAAATTGTGATGAAATTTCTCAGAATTTATAAAAGTTTGAAATTGTATTGTTTTTATCAAACTTGTCTTATTTGCAACTTTTGTAAAGTTGATAACGAGCTAATTAAGAAAGAATATATGTGATATGGCTCTGGAGACACAATAGTATTTCAGCGCTAAAAAAAAGTGAATATTTACTTGCTGCAAATAAGGGCCAGAATAAACAATGGACATATATGACTCTCAGTATTTATTTATATCTTTTTAGTTGTAAGTTTTTATCTTTTGAATGATTATGGATGTTTAGATATAGATGACGTCAGAAGTGAGAAAATATATACTAAAATTTCTTGTAAAAAGCAGACATAAGTATGGAAATATTTTTCAATAAAACAATGTTTGCATTTGATTAGAGTACACTCGCAAAATAAACTGAAAACTGTCCTCATAATTTGTAATAGAATGAAATCATTATATCTCAATTCGACTGTCTTGTAGCTTGTTTTATCATTGTCTGGATAAGCATAATTTAATTTCAATAATATATGGTTATTGATTATTATGATACAGTGGGAGATTTCGATATTTTACAAATCTATTCCATCTATTGTAAATGTTGTTTTATTAAAAAATACATTTTAATATGGTGTTTGTACGAATTTTCTTTATATATTATTTTATTCGTTTTTTATGTCACATTCCAAGATGGCTGTAATGAGCCGACAGGAGCCTAAATTTCAAACTAACTTTTTTTGGTATTTTTTTTTATTTATTATAATCTCTAAATTTTTACTGTTTTAATACCTTTATTTAATCATTTAAAGGACCTTGACAAATTAACTTCTACTTATAATGTTGAATAATGAAAATACTATATCATATACTACTCAAATTTAATTTGTTACAAGATGTCTGTATTTTTAATCATTTAATTTAAGTGATAATTTAATATTTAGATATTTTATTTTAACAATTTGTGTATATTATTAAAATATTCTTGTCTTTCTTTGAGTAAAAAAGTCAATTTTTTGTGTGAATGAATAACTAAAGGAAATTAAAAAGACATTAGAACAGCGTTAAAAATAGTAATAAATTAATAAATTAAAACTATTTTTTGTTGTACTATTTTTAAGGCTAAATTTAAAACATTAAGTAATTCTTTATCTTCTCTATTTTAATAGGTTGCACAAGTGCAGGCGCTCATTTCAATCCTCTAGAAAAAGTTCATGGTGGTCCAAATAATAGTGAGCGCCATGTTGGAGATTTAGGAAACGTGGAAGCTGGTACTGATGGTGTCGCAAAAGTTAATATCACCGACTCTATGATTCAGCTCAGTGGAACGCACAGTGTCATCGGACGAACTCTTGTGGTATATTAGATTTATAAGTCTCATTTACTTGTACTTTATCAGATTTTAATCCACAAATCATTTTAATTGGATTCTTACTCTTTAACATTAGTAATGACTTAAAAGTTAATATAATTTGTGCATTTTTTTAAATATGTTACAAGAGATATCCACATTTAGTATATTTATATTTAGTAGGGGAGAGTGGTCTAAATCGGACCATGTTCTAAATAGGACCTTTTTAATTTAAATGAATACGGTTAAGCAGATTTGCGTACTATTTATAACGTAAAGTCTTTATAAGACACCGAACATGTGATAGCAGTTTGACAGTTCTCTGTCATAACATTCATAACATAAAGGCAAATATGTATTTTCAGCCATCGTGCGAAAATTTTTTTAAAAAAGAAAATCCTTGTAAATCATTATTTAAAAGATGTTAAAAATTTGAAAAGTAATTGATTTAAGATAATTAAAGAGTGTAGAATTAAAAAATATCAAGCATTTCGTGATCACTTTTGCGGTTTATTGTAAAATTTGTTCCAAAGTTCGAAAGGACCCGTGTCCAAATTGGACAGTACAGTGAATAACTTATAGACCTGATTGTAGTACTGGTGATCGGCTGACTAGATCTGGTCCAAGCAATTAAATCAGTAAAATATCATGAGTCATCAGACTCAGATGAGTTTTATTGATTTCAATTCTAATAATATAAATAGTTAGTATTTTCTTTTTCCAAAAAAAATGTTTATCTTTGACTATCAAATTTCTCGTTTTTACTCAATATACTAAGAAAAATACATTAAAATATTTTAAAATTCTATCTAAAAATCCATAAAAATAGGAGTTTTCGATTCGAACCAGGGGATGGTCCGATTTGGAACCAATAATTCTAAATCGGACCGGAAAAAGCGTTTTTACATTTTCCATTATAGTTTAACACAAGTGAGAGAGAGATACGTCAAAATAATCTCAAGCAAAAATGAAGGGAATTAAATGATCTTTCCAACAGCACTTTGGATTTTACGGTCGGACTTTATTTATGCCTTATAGAGAGTAAAAATTGCAAATAGGTCCGATTTAGACCACTCTCCTCTGTATATTATATACTTAAGTATATTAGTGTATTAAAAGTAAAATGCTGATTTTATTAGAGATACCTGCACATTTAATTGATCACACTTGATTGCAAAACCATATGGTTAAAAAATTATTTATTTATTTTTGTTTCTTTTTGTATCTATTTTATATATACACTACGCAAAAAAATTAAAGGATCACTTGGTCCACCCCCAAAAATAGGTAAAAATTCAGAAAAGTGTAACTTCGTAAAAAATAATCATAACGAAATTTTTAAAAAAGCATTTTAAAGCATGAAATCTCTACTTTCGAAATCGGTAATTGATATTTCGATTTGATTGATTTTTTACGTAGCTATACGAACAGAAATGGGTATCCGTCAAATCTGAAAATTTTGTACAAATTTTACAAAAGTCTATGGCATGAACTAAAAATCGCACACAAATGCGGTTTTAAACATTCGAAAGAGTGAATCTTTACCTTCAATTTGCTTTTTTATTGAACGTTGTACGATTTTTTTTCGACGAGTTATTCGACATTCAATAAAAATAAAAAATTCATTTTTGCTTCAATGTCGAATAACTTCATGCCATAGACTTTTGTAAAATTTGTACAAAATTTTCAAATTTGACGGATACCCATTTCTGTTCGTATAGCTACGTAAAAAATCAATCAAATCGAAATATCAATTACCGATTTCGAAAGTAGAGATTTCATGCTTTAAATGCTTTTTTAAAAATTTCGTTATGATTATTTTTTACGAAGTTACACTCTTCTGAATTTTTACCTATTTTTGGGGACTAAGTGATCCTTTAATTTTTTTGCGTAGTGTATATTAAAAATTTATTTATTTTCCTCATATTTCAGGTTCATGCTGATCCTGATGATTTGGGTCAGGGTGGGCACGAGTTGTCAAAAACAACTGGCAATGCTGGTGCTCGTCTTGCTTGTGGTGTCATTGGTATCACAATGTAAATGTACATACATGATGGGTGCGAGAAGTTAAAAAGATGGAGTATATATTAGAGACATACTATTTTCTTACTGCTTTGTTTCTAGTATATAGTCATACATGCCAATGTTATTTTTTTTGTCAATGTAATATGATGAAAGTTTTGTTCGTAGAAATTAACGTTAATGGTAATAACATTAATGTCAAAATATGAATTTATGTATATTGCCTATGGAACTAAATAAGTACAGAAAAAAATATACAGATCTAAAACATTCTTCCGCATGAATATTTATAAAAAATATACATTCTGCTCTCTCATTTATAACATACATTATAAAGATACATTCGGCTTCATCTATAATATACATTAAATATACATTCTGCTCATCTATTATTATAATATACATAAAGATATATATTCTGCTTCATCTATAATGTACATTAAATACATTCTCGTTCCTGAAAATTTATACCGAATCTTGTTAAATGACTTAGTTGGGCGCCATAATATAACTACAGCATATTTAAATGACAAGCATATCTGGAAAGATGTCGGTACTCCATTTTTCAAATTGGTTCCATTTATAAATCTTATCTAGTCTTATCATGGCACCGATGATAATACTTTGTCAATCGATGACGCATCTAAAAATTATACCGTTCAATATATTAATTTCGGTGGTCGTCGCGATCGTAAGCTGCAAGTATGTTGCCAATAAATCGAGAAAACGAACCAAGGATTAGTGTCTTCGACAATTACCATGACTACAGCAGCTCTGAAGGCGAGGAAACTGAAGCTGAGAGGTATGAGTTTAATTTAGAGCTTTCGATATCATTTGAAACATTTGTCTAAAAATAAGTAAAATAAAATGAATTTTAACGAATTTAGAATGAATTTTGAATAAATAAATGTAGGGAGAGAGAGAGAGAGAGAGAGAGAGAGAGAGAGAGATGACAACTCAGCAAAAAATTGCAATACTCTATGATTCGTATAGGAAAGTTTAAAATTCTTATTTACATTACAAATCGTTTTGCGAGTTCTCATTTTTTATTTTTTAATACGTTTTAAATTCATTAATTTGGTTTTTATATCTAAAGTTATGATATTTTAAGAGAAAGACAGATTGTTTTCAATTACGTTTATTCCATATACAAAGTCATATAATATATTATATTGCGTTGTGACTTGTTAAAGATCTATACATACAGTACTCGACAAAATAAAGTACGCACTCCAAACATTTTCACATTTATGTAAATAACTCGCCAGTCCTGACAGATAGCATAATGATGAATGAGGTAAAAGAAAGGTATTTTAGTCTACTTTGCAATAATGATTACAAAAATTTCAAAAACAATTCGAAATCCTTTAATAGTCAAGTCCGTTACATTTATTATCAAATTTATCATGGACAAAATAAAGTACGCACAACATTGTTTATGAAAATAATAACAACTGGCGCTATTGATGATGAAAAATACATAAATATAACAATGAAGGATATATAAACAAATGAATAAAGCAGGTTTGTCAGTTAATAATATTGCTAGATAGAGTATAGTAAGAATTCTTCATCAGTGAACATGGAAACCAAGTAAATTTGTTTGCAAATTCGAAAACTGATAATTCAGGATTGTTAGAAGGGGCTTTCTAATAGAAAAATCGGTCGCAAGTATAATGTAAGTAAAGGCGCAGTCCGAAAGATATGGAAAAAATTCCAGGAGCTTGGCAC